GTGGGGTGGGGGGGTAAGTCACGGTATAATCTTTCTGATGGTATAATTTATATTTTGGCGTATTCAAGGGCCCTCAAAAGTACTGGCTCCCCGAATGTGCCAGAGTGTCCTTGCCCCTCCGACACCCTGCCTACGTAAACATACTTACGCTTCCTCCCGGCGCTCAAGCTGGACTCCAGATTTCGCAGTTTCTCTGCTAATTCTTTCTTTGCAGCATTATTTCGTATCAAGTACTTAACGCATGCGCATGCGTACTGCGCTGCCCTGGAAAGAGGCACGTGTAATTACAATTTCTTCAGAAACATGCACAAACAAGACAACTCCAAAACAGATCCAAAGAGCATTTCCAGGAAGGGCATGTACTTTTTGCAATGGGAAAACCTCGCAACAAGTTTTTATGTAACCGGGTAGTAACTTTTTAAACAGAACCCCACTCAAACTACATTATGGCATCGATAGAAAACAAAAATGTCATTGTAAGAATGAGTGTCTAGCAAGAATATTGTCACGCTTCAGAAACTAAATCTTCACGATAAGATAAAACAACAACAGCTGAAACACTGATCGTGACAGTTGTGTGACGGCATCAGACTCACCTGAAAATGCGATCCCTTCCCTGGGTTTGGTTTGTGAACTTGATATAGGACTCCATTGTAGTTGCAGGGGCGAAAACAAAGTTTTGTGCTGTACAAATTTGGGTATCTGTTTTTGCAGGTGGTGTGGCGTGGTTATCTCACGATCATCGGGGTAATGAACTATGCAGGACGAGCTGCGCTGCCGGCTATCCGGCATTAAGAAGCCCTTTAACCCCTTCACACATGTACATTAGACAGAGAGAAAACCTGCCCTCAGAAACCGACCGATTCGCTCCGTCTGTCTGCAACTCACGTCTCATAAAAACTGTATGAAGATGACGGAGTTTATTTGCTTGCCATGTCTTGCATTTCACTGCAGGCTCCTGATCTATTCGGGATATATGTTCAGCAGACCTTATTAAGTTTTAAAACGGTGCTGTCACATTCCCAAGAACTCTTATTAGTATTCCAAAGACCTGGCTTCTGATCACTCTCCTGGCAGTCTTATGCGTTGAAATTAAATATATATATTAAAAGCTGGAATAAATAAGTGATGAGTAATAAGATGATAAGCACAGGTTGTAGTGGGGAAGTTTGTCCTGGGCGAACCAGATGGACAGACACTTCCTGTACAGACTGCGATCACTCTGCGCCGGTAGCCAATTTGCGTTTTACCATGCGTTTCGGGAAAGTTAATTAATATTCATGAGAAGTGCTACCTCATAGGATCAGCCAACCTTTTGACAGCAAAAAACGGGTAGCACATGTGGATGGGTGCACGTTCACCGACCAATCAGGTAGCACTTCTTCATGAATATTAATTATGCTTCCCGAACTGGCCAATCAGGTAGCACTTCTCTCGGGAAAAGATCAGTATTTCATTAAAAAAAACTTATCACGTTACAGTTGCAGACTTTTATATTCGTATAACAAAAATATACTGACTTACATTATAATAATAATAATAATTATAATTATTATTTAAATTATTATTGCTATTATTATTTTAAGCGATGGATGAATTGATGTATTCGACGGTTAAATACTGCTGACATACATCTGATGTAAACAAAATGCCATTTCTTTTTTTATGGCGTAATTTACTCTGGAGGACCTAAGTGCCTATGTTATACTCTTTCAAATAAAACTTAATTATTAACTTTTTTATTAACTTTTAGAACTTTTTAAAATTAAGTGTGGTTTTTGAAAGCGTGGATCATTCTTCGGTTGGATGGGGAAATGGGCTGAATAAATTTTTCAAAATCAAGTTAATTAATGCCAAAAATAAACCACCTTAATATGTCTTAAGATGTCCCATTATCAGATATGCGAAATTAAGAGTTTAATGCCAGTTATATTTTTTAATTCTTCAATATAATATGCAAAGTTTTAGTCAGTTTGTCACTCTTGTCATTCCATCATTTTAAATTTATATTTCAATGGGTCTGTATTTAGTGAGGGAATTATTTTTAAACAGTCATGTTACTAATGATCTTTTATAGACATATATTGCAAAAAACACCAAAATATAGGGATCTGTTATACGTTTTTAAGGCATCTTCGTATCTCACTTTGCAAAAAATGAATACTTTCTAGTAGAACAAGCATACAAAAAAGCTGGTCAAACCAGGACTGTAACATCAGTGACAATAAAAGCGACTTCATTTTTACAAAATGGCTAAATTAATAGATAAGATATTAACATGTTGATATTAATTAGCTTTTCAAGTGGTTTGACTAATCATGACATTACCTTTAATCTTTGATGTTGCAGGTGTGGTAACAGTGGCTGTAACACTAGTGACATTCGGATTAAAATGGAGGATTTTTTAATGGCTGCCCCATGGGGGGTAAGGTGACCTCGTGCCAGTGGTGGTTCTAGCTTGTATGGTGTCCCATGATTACCCCCTGCGTGTTTATGCCCTGGGCGGCTGCCCTTGTCGCTCACATCTAAATCCGCCAGTGCCATGTATAATTATACAAACTTAGTGATATGAAACATATGGGATTATTTTTAGAAAATTTCAATTACCCAGCCCTTACACCACATAACCCCAGTGATGTGGATGAAATGGGCCGATTGAGTTACAAAATTATCAATAGATTCGTTAAATAAAATGGGTATGTTGCATCGCCAATTACTTATTTTATGAAATATTTCTACATTTTTTGGCACTGTAGCAGGAATATCATGAATTCCAGGTATAATTTAAACACATACATGCATGTACACACAGGAACCCAATATTTCAAACTTGCAACGCTGGCTTCTTCAGCTCCAGTTGTGATGTAATGGACTGGCATCCCGTCCAGGGTGTCCCCAGCTCTGTGCCCTGCGATGGACTGGCATCCCGTCCAGGGTGTCCCCTGCCTTGTGCCCTGCGAGTGACTGGCATCCCATCCAAGGTGTCCCCAGCTCTGTGCCCTGCGATGGACTGGCATCCCGTCCAGGGTGTCCCCTGCCTTGTGCCCTGCGAGTGACTGGCATCCCATCCAAGGTGTCCCCAGCTCTGTGCCCTGCGATGGACTGGCATCCCGTCCAGGGTGTCCCCTGCCTTGTGCCCTGCGAGTGACTGGCATCCCGTCCAGGGTGTCCCCTGCTTTGTGCCCTATGCTGCCCTTGCTAGAATCCAGGATTATTGGACCCTGGTCATGTAAAATGAGAGAAGGGCAGATGCACATATATAGATTTAAACTAGTCCTTCAAAGACCAATCAGAACCATCCAAATGATGTCAGATTATTCTATAAAAATATTACACCTATATAAACATCAGGGGTCTGTGCCCCCCATCGGTCGGCCATTGCACTGTGGGTGAAGCAGACTGTAGCAGCACTGGCATCAAACCAGCTCTTAAAATAGTGGTTTACTTAGTGGTGCTGAAGTTCAAACTGTAATTATGCCTCAAGAATGGCTGCCAGTCAACACTAGAACCACATCTCCGTGAAGCCAGGAGTCTCGGTTAAAAATACTCCCAGGTCTGTCTCACTCATGCATATCTATGGCTAAAACAGCCTCATGTGCATTAGCCAGGGCACCACATGTAAACACACACGTTCTGTTAATGAGCTGTGGGCTTTCAGACTTCGTCCCTGGTATTTCATATATTTACTGTTTATTTTTATCCCTTTAGTATTTTTGAATATTTTAATTCCTTGTGCCCTGCGTTTCCTGGATCAGACTCCATACTCACTGTGACAATGGTGGATGGATACATTTGCATGTTTGGAATAGTTTTCTGACCACGGCTGTGAACCAGCCTAGAGAATTCCGGCATGTTATTGAGAGCGATGTCGAAACAAACTAAAGTCTCTCCCTTAGTTTGTGTTCCTTGTGACTCTTATTACACACTTAATATCTGCCCGTCTTCCATACAGGAAAAGACAGGAATCACCTCAGACAGAATCCCAGTCTACACACATCCAGTATCTTTCTGTCTGACACTGAGCAGATGACAAGGAGCATCACTGTGGCCCAGCTCACTGTAACAGATTCGCATTTAATGAGCCCCCGGAAAATGTCACCTAACGGCCAGCCTGACTTTAATCCTGTGCCATCGCTCCGCTCTGCGCTTTCACCTTGATGAAGCCTTTGATTCTGGCCTTTGAAGCGGTGAAGACGTGGTTCATGCCGGTCTTTTGCCAGGGAAATACCGCCTGCACCCAGCTTCAACAAACAGCATAAAACAGCAAAATGTGCACTTTGATTAATGTGACTTTGCATTTTTCCTCCCTCTGCCCTCTGTAAACACACACACACACACACACACACATTCCCCCAAAATATATCCTCATAACCATACAAGTATATGTGCACATATATCAGGCCTTAAATTTAATAAAAAAACAATTCTTTTAATATTTAATATTATTTAATAATTGTATTCAGTCACCTATCTTCCTGCCAGTTAGCCACTGCAGCGTCCCTGTCCCAAGCAGGTCAGGCAGGGGTCCCCTGCCCAGGATCCCAGTTCATCCCAAGATGCACTCATACTTGCTAAAATGCACGTTTTCCAATAACAGTAGGATACCCAGCTCTAGCTTTGTACAGTAGGGGGCAGAATTTGACCCTGGGGTGTGGGGTAAGTGTTCCACCCACTGTAACATCCAGGGGCAGCCCAGGAATATGCTGCCAAGTGGCCTCAATTTGATATTTCACTGCTGATTGCGGGGGGGGGGTCCATTTGGTGTATTTTGCTGCTGATCAGGAGTCCCCCTTACCTTGGTATATTTTGCTGATTGCGATCATATTTGCTATGTTATACAGACCAGCCCACTGGGAAAATTCGCAAACGTCCTGGTAGTCAGTCCGCACCCGGTACCATCCCTTACTCAGCTTTTGAAATCCCAAGAAAGGCTCGTTAACTACCTTCCTTGTTATGGCCTGCAGTGTCTGTCCGTTTTTCTGAAGCGGGCGCGCCGGGACGCCACCCGGAGGCCAACAGCAGCTTAGACAGAGGTACTATGGCTGCAGTGGGTGAGAATGCGCTTCTGTCATTTCCGTAACATGGAATAACAGCAGCTTAGACAGAGGTACTATGGCCGCAGTGGGTGAGAATGCGCTTCTGTCATTTCCGTAACATGGAATAACAGCAGCTTAGACAGAGGTACTATGGCCGCAGTGGGTGAGAATGCGCTTCTGTCATTTCCGTAACATGGAATAACAGCAGCTTAGACAGAGGTACTATGGCCGCAGTGGGTGAGAATGCGCTTCTGTCATTTCCGTAACATGGAATAACAGCAGCTTAGACAGAGGTACTATGGCCGCAGTGGGTGAGAATGCGCTTCTGTCATTTCCGTAACATGGAATAACAGCGTCCTGTAGGCAGAGTTGCAAGAAGGAAGCCATTGCTTAAGAAGACCTGCAGCAAAGGTACAATTTGTGAAAAAAAAACACTTGAGTGGCCTGACAGGAAAATGGCAGAAGGGCAGATGCTAATGGTAGAAAGAATAATTGAAGCTTCCATGTATTTGTAAAATTTTACCATCAGCTAATTTGATTAATAAATTAATTTGATAAAGTATTGATTGATGAGTCGTCAATTCGACAATTACATGGGTGTACTGGATGGATGCTGGACATACTGGGTTTGAAATGGCTAAGCTGACACACTTTGACAGACATAATATCATAATATCCCTCCTCTCAGGCGATCACTCACACATCTGCTGATCAAATAAATGTATGTATGTATCTGACTGTACATCTTCCAGCTTATTCATTGCTGCGACGGTGAACCTGGGGCGTGTCCCAGGCGGTGAGGGGCGCAAAAAAACCAAAACCTTACAGCCAGGCAGAGTTTTTTAAATAAGGGATAGAACAGCTAAGAGGAGTGGAAAGCCTTCATGTGAGAACTGTGGGAGAGAAAGCTTTATGGAATAAATAAAGGTGAAGGGATTATTGTCAGGAGGAACCTTATGCAGCAGCCCAGGGGAAATTTAGCTCTGCTTTTCCTGATTTTAACCTTCATCCTTATGGCCATAATACACTTTAAACACAAATTGGTGGGAAAAGGGAAAGGCTGTGAACAGAGCGACCCTGCAAGGCAGCACATGTAGCTGTGTGTTTGTGTGTGTGTGTGTGTGTGTGCGTGGGTCATGTATATATTACATTGTGGGGACCAAATGTCACCCTCAATGTAATAAAAACCTGTTTTTTTTTTACATTGTG